GATGGAGCGGATGTCTGAGGAGGCGTTGAGGCTGAACCTGCTGAAGCGGGGTCTGGAGGCGCCGGATGAGCGGGAGGAGGCCAAGCGCCTTAAGATGGACGGTCACGAGGCCATGGAGAGGCTGAAGATGCTCGCCCTCCTCAAACGTAAGGATCTGGCCGCTTTGGAGGGGGCGGCTGTTGCGGCAGCCATGGCAGAGGGCAAAGGGCCCTGTGGAAGCCAGGGGCTGATGGGAGCTGTGGCCTACGAGGAGAAGATGAATGGAAGTTTGAGAGTCGGGGGCCACGGAGGTCCCAGTAAGAACGGGAAGGAAAACATAGTGGATGAGCCAGTTGACATGAGTGCCAGAAGGAGGTGAGCTTTCGGGACAAGTGCTGTGTATTTTTGTGCTGTGTTTTTCAGGAAATAAGTCACACTTGACTATGAGCCAGGTCAACACTGGAAGGTTGCATTGTTGTACAAGTCGCATTTTGTTATTACACTGCAAAAATGCTTTTCTTACTTAGCATTCTTCTTAATTTAAAACAAGAAACAAGCCAAAGTCGAAATTAAATTAGTTTTTACCTAAAACAAGCAAAGTAATCTGCCACTGGGGCCAAAAGCCTTACTTTAATGAGGGCTGTGGGCCGAAGTTGAATATACACAAACCGTGTTACGTTAAATTTGCCATGGGTAATTTCCTAATTTATTTGCTAATATTTAAAAATAACTAGAAAACATTGCTTTAAAACATATTAATTAATGATGCAGTGTCATTTTTAACCTTTTCTAATGAGCTTATTATAGTAAAAACATAATCCCATTTAGTGCTGCACGATTAATCGAAAAAAGATTGCAATTGCGATTCGACCCAGCATTTCTACGATTCTGCCAATCATATTTTCATGTTCAGGAGAGAAGCATAAAGGCGGTCGCATAGATCTTCAGGTTGTTTTATATACGTTGCTCAGTGACATGGACACCTCCAAATGGTGTTGAAAGTCACATACTGTATTTATAAGGTATTATTCCCCCAAAATTTTCATTTCTGTCTTCATGTAATGATGTATGCATGGCCACGAAATCACACGTGACGTGAGCTGCTGACTGTGAGCTGTTACCACAGAGAGGGTGGGTGCGGACTTTACTTAATTATAGACAAGCGTGTTTCTACTTTAGTAAACAGAACCTGCGTAGGCTGTGAATAACAGGTAATAAAGTTGTAAATAAGTTTCGTTTGTTGCACAGAGTGATTTATTGGGAGCCGCGCGGGATGTATGAACAGCATTTAGCAGTGAAAATGAAACCGAAAGTGCGAACATCATTTAAATAATTATATCACATTTTAGAGTTATGATTGCGACAAGCATTTACTATGTTTTTTTCTTTCATAGTGAACACAGAGTGTTGTGCATGAGAATAAATGTTTAACACTGTCAGTTTAGCTGCTGTAGGCTATATAATAATATAATATAACACAAGAGGGAATCTGATAATGACAAATGTCTGATTTTTACCAGCAGAAAAAATTATCTAATTATGTTGTCAATGACAAATGACAAGCATATGCCTCAAACATTGTAATTTAATATCAGAATTATGAATAGTTGTATTCTGATGTCATCACTTTACTGTGCATTAATGACCAGGACATATTCAAAGTCTGCTCAAGTCCACCATTCCAAGTCATTAAAGAATTTAGCATTGTAACCAACATTAGACCTACACATAATAATATTACTATTGTTTTATCATATGTTTGAGGAATAACAATAATAATATCCTACTCATATTAGTCTTTATTTTCCATCTATAGAATCAGGAGAAAATCGTGATCTTTATTTAAAGCAATAAAATCGTGATTCTCATTTTAGCCTGAATCGTGCAGCTTTAATCCCATTCATAACAAAATAGAGAGCAATGCTGAATACACTAGTCAAGCTGCTCCTGTCTTCGCGTTGATTTGCTCGCTGATGTTTTGTGCATTGTTCTCTATCTGTCATGTTGCAGTATTTACATTTTAAGTCTGATTCATTTACAGCATTTAATTTTAGTTGCTCCTCAAATAAGCAAAGAAACAAAAAGTTAAGTTTAATTGGAAATGACGATCTCTGCCAAAGGCATTTGCCCCTTATCAACTCTCTATCATTCTCCCTCTCTTTTTAGATATATTGGTGGGCCAAACCAAAGGTTACCGTGGGCCAACTTTGGCCTGTAAGCCCTGCTTTGGACACCTCTAGTCTGAACAAAATGAACTGAATTCAATTAAAAAACAAGGTTCTTTTTCTCACCCCACTGCCAGATTTGCTTGTTTTAAGTTAAAAACTGACTTAATTTTGACTTAATATTTCTGAAAACAAAACAATATTATTTTCTTGTCTAGAAAATAGGGTTGTCACGATGCTGGAATTCGATATCAATCAGTACTGAAACGTCCATTTCCTGCTAACATTTGAGTGCTGTTGAGTGGTCTTAAACCGCTGATTTGCCATTGTGTTCACGTGCTCAACAGAATTGACTGTGATTGGCCAAAAGTTCACCGAACTCACCAGTGTTTACTGTAACTACAGGTACAGGTACACTAGAGTATTTAAAAGCCACAAAGATCAGCTGGTCTGTTTATAAGCTAACATACGAGTGATCAGCTGATGAATCGACTGATCTTCACGGCTTTAAAACGCTAGTGTGACAACACTACTAAAAATGCTTCTTGACTTAAGAATGTTTAGATCATTACACTTGAAAATTGACAAAGAAAACAATTGTTTTGCCGTGTACATTTAGAAGTGATCATAAAATATCATTAAAATTCAAAACATATGTTTATAGACGTTTAGTTTTATTTCACTTTCCCTCATTCCCTCTATTGACTAGTGTAAAGCAAAGACAGACATTATTATTGCATTCATTAAAAGTTGCAGCGACTTCTGGTTCACTTAGACTTTATCATTAGTCAAAACTAAAAAGTGAATGAACTAAGCAGAAATGATGGTGCCAAACACTAAAACATACTGAAGTAATGGTTTTTGAAGGTACCGTTGGGACTCCTCTATTCAGTTTTGATTTGTTACCACAGCCTGCAGTCACAAATTTAGGAGTGAAATTTGATCTTATATTTGACAATCAGATAAGAGCTGTATTAGCTTTTTTTCAACTAAGACAATTAGCAAAAATAAAGAAATATATACTAAAACAACTGTTTGAGACTGTGATAAATGCTTTTATGACCACTCTGTTAGATTACTGTAATGCACTGTATGTGGGGAGTAACAGGTCAACTATTGCCCGTTTTGCAAATGGGGCAAAATGCTGCATCACGCCTGTTAACCGCTACTCTCAAATGTAACCACATTTCCCCAGTTTAAGAATCTTTTATTTGTTTTAAAGTTTCTAAATGGTCTTGCCCCACCTTATATCTCTGAGCTGATACACCTCTATAAACCTACTCGTTCTCTCAGGTCAGCTGATCAGCTGCTTCTGATTGTTCCAAAAACAAAGCGTAAGCTTAGTAGGGATCGTGCTTTCGCTGTGGCGGGTCCTAGACTTTGGAATTAGACATGCCTCTTCAGTGTTCTCATTTAAATCAGCTCTTAAAACTCATTTGTTTTTGTTAGCATCTGACACCTGATCTTAAAAACTGGTTATTTTAATTTTTGTCCCTACTTTGGTAGTTAAGCTTTATTTTATCATGTATTTTATAGACTATTATGCTCATTTTGTTGTATATTTTCAGTACAGCACTTTGGCTCACTTCTGTGTATTTAAAGTGCTCTATAAAGTTTGACTTGACTTGAAACACTATATAAAGCATCTATTATAATTATCAGAGTGTAACAACTTAAAGTGAAACTGAAACTAAAGGAATGTGAAATGCACTATAGAACTACTCAAATATACCTTGCTTGTTTTGTTTGCTCGATGTTAACACTGATTCAAGTCATTTTGAAAGTTTGAAAGTTGCAGCACATTTCAGAACTTTTTTTTTATTTAAGTCAAATATCAGAAAATAAATAAAAGGGATAGTTCAACCTATAATGAAACATGCCTCATCATTTTTAAACCTTTAAACCTTTCCTCTGTTGTACGCAAAGGACAATATTTTGAAGAATCTTGGTTACTATAGAAGTCAATGGATGCCAGCTACCAGCATTCTTCAAAATATCTTCTTTTGTGTTTAACGGAAAAAAGAAAATCCAATAGGTTTTGATTGAGTAAAGAGTGAATAAACAAAAGACGGAATATTTAATTTTGGAGTCAAAAGTTGTTAACTAACCTTTATTTAAAAAAAAGCTCACTCTGATTTTGAATTTCACAGCGAAATGGTCAGAGAGCGACGCACTCCGTCACCAGACGTCATCATTTTATCAGACAACGAGGCGTCCAGCCCACGAAGCACACCTCATCCTGAGGAGAAACAGCACCAGGCCAACCTAGAGATGTTTAAGGTACAGTGTCCCATGGAGGAATCTATTTTCTCAGTTGTTTAATCACCCTTAAGTTTTTAAATGTGTTAGATGAACCTCTGTGTGTTTGTTCTGCAGGGGAAAACCGGCGAGGAGCGGCAGCAGATGATCAAAGCTCTCCGAGAGGAGCTCCGGCTGGAGGAGGCCAAGCTGGTGCTCCTGAAGAAACTCAGACAGAGCCAAATGCAGAAGGAGAACGTGGTGCAAAAGGTCAGAGAAATACTCTGTATAACCTGTACTGCCTTTTACACAACAGTCAGGGCTTAGTAGTGCTGGGGCTGGATTCACCAAACATTATTAATGTACAAGAAATCAAAACTAACCGGATGATTTTGTCAGCTCACATTGATAATTTTGTGGTTACCAGACATGAACATTGAGCATGCCTGGGGTAAGAATAAGATGGAGGAGGCATTGAAGATGAATCCAAAGAATCTTGATGAACGCAAAAATTATTTCTTTGGCATTCCAAATGACTTTATTAATAAGTGATTTGAGTCATTGTAGAGATGTATGGATGCAGTCCTCCAAGCTCATGGGAGTCAAACACAGTATTCATTCTTTCTCCATTGCAGCATGACATTCTATACTGGACATTGTTTCTGTTTAGTGACAAGACTTTTGTCTGAGCAAAGTTAGACCTTACTGTCCTAATTAAAAATTAAACGTCAAGGCATGATCATATTTTATTTTGGTAAAATAAGCATAATTTAGAGCTAGTGGGTCGCACAGCGAAGAAAGGTGGGTCGTGCAACGTCACTTTGTTGCAGCTATATTTACGTTGCGGTGAGTCAAAACCAGTACGAGCAAACAACTCTTTAGAGACTATTCTGTTTTTCAAATGAACCATTTAGGTTCAAACACATGAACTGAAACAGTCCAATAGTATCTGGATGCAGCCTTTATGATGCAAGCTGAGACTGCATCACTCAGCGATGCAATGTCAGACACAATGCACTCAAATGGAGCTAGTGACGTCACTGTGACGGGTAGGATTAGGGGTGGGGTTAGGCATTGGATGCAGCCCAGATTGCACTGCACCACGTCTGCAGCCAGACCCCTCTCAAACAGTCTGGATTAGCATTCATTGAATGACTGAGTCAGATTCATTTGTGTTTAACTGTCAGGTGTCCGTCAATAGCGTGCAGCATTCATGAACGCAGCCGCAAAGTGTTTGGCAAAATGGGAAAGTTTTTAACACTAAAGGCGTCGCAGACTTCTGATACGTCTTCAGATCAAACCAAATCTAAAAAGAAGCCACACAGAAAATATGATCAGTCCCACCTCGATCGTAGTTTTATTGCCGGCAGAGGTCCAGAGGCAGAGGAAGTCCTGCTTTGTCTTTTATGCTTAGAAAAGCTTGCAAGTGCTAGCATGAAAACCTTAACACTTAAACGGCACCTGACACAAAACATTCTGCATATGTCAACAAAGGTTGATCATATTCTCTTCTAAAAAAAAAAGAAGAGTATCTTCATCAACAAAAAAAGGATCACAATTACAGCCAGCCTCCCACAAAAAGCACTTCGAGCCTCCTTTTGTGCATATCGAATCGCTTAATCCAAAAAGCCACACACCATATATTTTGGACTGCTTTGAATGGACACATTTTTTACCCATTTTTCCATATTAAAATGTTATGGGGGTAGGCTTAGGCGGTATCCAAATTTTGATACCGGCAAACCTCCTCCCTATTTTACCTTGGTAGCCGGTATCACCGCGCATGATAAAAAAATGATGTAAGGCTCAGACAGCGTCACCAAACTTGACTTGTGCCTAAACTATTCAGAAACTGAATACCGTATATGAGACCTTAGGTTCGCCGTCACCTGTGTGTCTTGTTTGTATCAGAGATTTGAGCAGGATGCTCTCTCTCATTTACACACACACACACACACACACACACACACACACACACACACACACACACACACACAGATGCTCTCTCTCATTTACACACACACACACACACACAGAGACAGAGACAGCACCAAGTGTCGCATAGCACCGTGCGCTCTCTCTCTCTCTCTTATTCACACACACACACACACAAAGAGCAACACACAGCACCACGCACTCTCTCATTCACACACACATAAACAACATCCACGCGTGCTCGGGGGCGATATTGTTAGACTGCGCGCCCGCTCCCTTTCAAATTACACTAGTTACCAACTGCTCCTGTGATTTATTTGGAAATTTATTTCCGCACCGCAAGAAATCTGGTCGGATCCTGTGGCTCCCACGGTACACCAGCAGGAATGCAGAACTCTCGTATTTACCGCGTCTCCCTTCTCATTCTGAAAAACTGCCAAACTGCTGGTCACTTGGTGCCTGACTCGCCATCTTACCTCACCTCTCTCTCTCTCTCTCTCTCCTCCACACTGTCCCGTGATGACAATCACGCATACGCGTTTGTAGGCTTTAAATAAATAATATTTATTATTTATTACTTGTCTCCTATTGAAGTGCATTGTTTTTTATGACGGTATAGCGGTATTAAAACTGACACCGTTGCTATTTTTAGATCCCACGGTATACCATATTACCGTATTACCGCCCAAGCCTAATGGTTGCTTAGGTGGGTCCCGAAATGAAAAAGTTTTGCAACCCCTGATGTAGAGGCCTTTGCCTTTCATATAAGCCACTTCTGATGGCAAACGATCAACTAGAAATCAAGTTATTATATGTTGTTCCTAAAACTTGGCTAGGTGACAAGACCTTTGTGTCATGAAAATAGTCATAGAAGCAAGCATTTTCAAAATATCGGGAGAGTAAATGATGACAAATTAACATTTTTGAGTGAACTAAACCAAGTTTTGCTTCATTACATCAGTGATTCTGACATTTACACTTCCACTTTTTGCTGAAATCAGCCTAAGCATGGCTTTCTTATAGTCTGCATATTATATCAGAACTGTATAAAACACTTCAGCATCCTAAAAAAACAAAAACCATCAGCAGTGAGTGAATGTCGCAGTGTTGTATGCTGTGAATCCTCCAGTATTGTACACTGCAGCTCCTCTGTACAGCGTGTTCACCTTCACCGTTTTAGCACCTAGTGAAATATCCTGCCCTCATGTCCAGCTGAGTGTTATATTAATGGCAGGGAAATTTGTGGAGGTAAATCGTACTATTGTTGAGAGGACGGTAGTTGCTGGCGGGGGTGAAATAGGGTAACGGGTTGATACCGTATCGCAGCTCTGTGTAATGTTTGTCCAGCACTCTGGCCTTCAGATTGTTTTGTCTTTTGCTTGTGAACTCGGTGTCTGTCTCGATGCAGGAACCAGCCATAAACACTCACTCGCGTCTGACACTCTAGTGCAACAACTCACAACCTTTCTTGTGTTTCAACTTGAAGATGAACATTTGATTTCGTTAGATTTGAGAGGATGCTAACAAGTATCAAAATGCATTGAGATTAATATGCAATAGATCTTTTTGTATCAGTTATTGAAAATATATGCATGTCCATGTTAGCCTTGATCCATTTAATAATATTAATTACTTAAACGCATCAACTCAGTGTTTTCTTGCTCTTTAGCTCAATTGTTTTAGATTTGGTAGAAGGGAATACTGACAAGAGCCAAAATGCATTGAGATGTTGTAATGTAAAAATCTATATTGTATTACATTAGAATTGTTTTTACGTTTTAAATGATTGTTGTTGCATAAATTATAAATATTATTATTATAATAAATTATAATTATTTATATGAAATATTTATATTTTAGTTTTTTTAATGTTTTTTTGCATTTAATTCCTTAAATTTTTATTGTTTATTATAATTTTAATTATAATTCAATATTTTTTAATGTTAATTTATATTGTATTTGAGTTTTTACATTTTAAATGATTGTTATTATGTTAATTCACTGTTTGAGATTTGGAGATTAATAATAGTGGTCATGTTTTTATTATTTGATTGTTGTATAAATAACACTGACACTTGTTCAGCCGGTTATAATATTTAGGGCCGCACAGTATACAATTTAGGAATTAAAGTCCCATTGTATTTTATTTTTCCCATTAGTATTTCATTTTATTGTAATTTTATTTGTGTTTTGTATTTTTATTTTTTTATTATTTTTTTTAGTATTTTATTCTATATTTATTTAATTTTGTTTAATATTTTATTTTTAATTCATTTTTTTTTTTTTTATTTACTATTTTATTGTAATTATTTTTCTTTTAATTATTTTAGTTTTATTTTTCAGTATTTTATTTAATTTTTATTTGTATTTAGTATTTTTTAGCATTTTATCATCATTTTATTTTTATTTAGTATTTTTTATTTTATTTAGTATTTTATTATTTTATTGTTATTTATTTTTATTTATTTACTTTTTTATTGTATTTTTTATTTTTATTTATTTATGCAATGCTTCTGTATATATAATATAGAATCCAGATCAGTAAGTGAGTTTTTACTCCTTCTCTCTGTCATCTCTGAAATGCCTTAGCATGTAAAATACCACAGTCCATGAATATGCAGATATTTTGCTTGCTATGTTTTATGCATAAAATCCCTCTTCTACTTGTCAGATATCCTTGAAATAAGTGTGCAATGCAAAAAAGCCAATGAGTTTGAGACCGAACTACCTGTTTGTTGAACAATGGAATATGAGGAAATGTCTGCTTGCACAACTCCCCCAAAATAATCAGTAAAATCTTAAACAGCACCTATTTTTATACTTCCAATTGGTGGAAATCACACATATGAGGTTCCTCTAATGCGTTTTTTTAAGCTGCATTGAAACACTTTGCAAAAAAATAAAAAAAATGTAATCATACACAGGCGCTGCACAGGTTTTGACCTCTACTCTTCTTTTTGCAGGTGCCGGTGGTCCAGAATGCCCCATCGTCAGTGCAGCCGTCACCCATGCACAGCTCTCAGGGGCTAGGGAAGCTCCCCGTGCGGCCCGGCATGCACTCGTCTGAGCCTCAGAACCTGCGCACTGCACAGGTGTGTATGTGTGTGTGTTGATGTTCTTCACATTCAAAAAAAACACAGATAAAAGATATCATAATGTTGTCAAAAGCATCACATTTGTGATATATATATCAATGCTAAAATATTTGGAACTATTCGCTTAAGTGTGACTTAATGCGAAGGTGCTTCCGGGTCCAAGCCTTCTATGAAACTGAATGGGGAGACTCATCAAATGGTAATACTAAACATTTACAAAGCGCTGTAATACTTTCGAAAATCACGATCGCAATATATATATATATATATATATATATATATATATATATATATATATATATATATCAGGACATATAGATATCATATACATATTTATATCCATCCATGCCTAATATCCAATGGCCAGAAAGTAATTAATCTTTTATAAATAGTTAAAATTTTGGTATTTGTGATGCAGCAAGTCCAGAGACGACGTGTACACTATAATTTCATATAAAATTCACTTTAATGTGTGATAGGACTAAAAAGTGTTCATAAACTAATACGTCATGACTTAACAAGCGGATATTAGGGCTGCACGATGTTGAAAAAATCTGCATTATGAATACAATTTTGGCAGAATAGCTCTATTTGAGTCGGCGCCAGTAGTGTAGTGGTTAGTGCCTCGACACATGCACTCCGGTGCTCACGGCGACCCAATTTCGATTCCCGCCTCATGGTCCTATGCCGATCCTTCCCCTCTCTCTGCTCCCCATGCTTTCCTGTCAATTATCTTTACTGTCCTATCTATTAAAGATGAAAACCCCGAAAAAATAATTATAAAAAAAAAAGAATATCTCCATTTGGGATAAAATCCTTAACTTTGTTTGGAATAATCTTGTAGAGGAGTGAAAAAAATGCAAGAATAAATTAATAAGATAGAGCAAAGATAAAAGTGAAATAAGTAGTCAGATATTCAGATACAGTGATACAATATTATTATTAGGGTTGGGCTGATAGACATGGCTATCGTTCACCGCCGATGGCCAATAAACAACACGATGCTGAGCCGGCATCGCCAATCCTCCGCTCGCCCCGTCGCAAACCTGCTCACGAAAACAGCACACTCAAGCCCCGTTTACACTAATACGTCTTAGTATTAAAATAACATTTTAGAACGAAAATGATCCGCATCTACACCTTGTTTTGCATAGCATTTCTGAACAGCCCTCCTTCCGCTGAAAATGCACATCACGTGACCACACACACAAACAGACACAGTCACACACTGTCACAGTCATACGCTCCTCTGAGCTCCAGAGAGCAGTGAAAGTTGCACAGTTTATCAAGCATGTACCGCTAGATCGCGTCTCACTACAGTTGTTAAACGTGATATTCAGACATTCCAAGTCTCCCGGAAGTTCCAGGGGTCTCTATGCAATTGCGGGACTCATAATGGCCACAAACGAGTGATAATCTCCCGTAAATTGTGCGTCTACCTCCCGGTCCTCAAATAAGTCGCGCACCCTTCTCATCACCGGATCCCTCCTCGCTCTTCAGAAACAGATATAAAAAACACGACACAAAGGTAATTTGATAAAAAAAAAAATAACAACAATATTATTACGTTACAGCTTAAATAAACTTTATAATGCAAAAACAACATAACGCACACATTAATACAGCTGTTTTAGGTCAGTTAAATCAGTTGACTGTTAAAATTCTAATTTTTAACCCAACTGGTTGAGTTATTAAATAAATAACCAAATAAAGGTTAAAAATAACCCAACAAAGCACCAAATATTTGACGCAACTAGTTAAGTTATTGATAAATTACCTAATTTAGAGTAAAAATGACACAACAAAGCACCAAATATGTTTAACTCAAACATTGGGTTAAATAAATAACTCAACCTTTTTTTACAGTGTAGTTAACCTAGTTAAGCCTTTAAATGTCACTTTAAGCCAGGAAGCTCAATCCTGTTTCTGGAGATCTAGCTTCCTGTACAGTTTAGCTCCTACCCTGATCACCCACCTGAACCAATTAATTAGGACCTGAAATCCACTTGATAATTACAGACAGGTGTGTTTGATAAGGGTTGCAACTGAAATCTGCCGGAAGGTAGATCTACAGGAACAGGATTGGCCACCCCTGCTTTAAGCTGTATAGAAGTGTCTTGAAAAATATCTAGTCAAATATTATTTACTGTCATCATGGCAAAGAAAAAAAAAAATCGGTTATTAGAGATGAGCTATTTAAACTATAGTTTAGAAATGTGTTAAATCTTCCAGTAAACAGAAAATGGGGGGATAATAAACAGTTGGCTAATAATTCAGGGGGGCTAATAATTCTGACTTCAACTGTACAAACAATGGAGGTGGATGGTTACAGGTTCCCAGCTTTCTTCAAAATATCTCCTATTGTGTTCATGAGTAAAATGAACCTATAAAGGATTAAAACAACATAAAGGAACGCAAATATTGAGTAAATCTCCATTTTTGGGGTGAATGATCCCTTTAACATTAAGTCATGTTTGTGCTTTTATGACAAACAAAGACGTAAATATCAATTCGAATGAATCCTGTAGCAATTTTTCACCTCGGTATCCCAAATCTATGCATTTAAAGGTGCATCATGAAAGCCAGTATGGTGACAACACTAGAATATTGTGATTTCTCCAGCGAGCACAATTACATTTCCAGCACACAAACGCTCCTCATTAAGAACATGCCAGAGCCTGCTGCTTGTTGCCATGGGAGCAGCACCTTAAGATCAGCATAACCGTATAGATTGGTAGCAGTTACCATTTTTAATAAGGGTCCATCTGTTGAGTACAAACAAAGAATTTGATGTCAACAATGTGCAGTCTGATCGACGGCGTCTGCTGACATCTAGTGGCCATACTGTGTATTGCACGTTTATTAATAGCTCTGAATGTGTGTGTTTTTTCCCTTTAGGGCCACACAGTAATCAGGTCTGCTGCCAACGCATCTTTGCCCCCCATGATGATGTCACAGCGGGTTATCGCACCCAATCCTGCCCAGCTTCAGGGTCAGAGATTGCCCTCCAAGCCTGGCATGGGCCGCTCCTCCACAGGTGGTCTGGGTAATGCAGTGAGTTATCAGCAGGTACGGCCGAACTGTTAAGCTCATGTGCATTAGTCCTGATTTGTTTTTGGGGTATTTTTGTTCCTGGGATTTATTGACATTGGACTTTTCAAAAGATTATGCAGTGTGCACAGCTTAGTTTTTTTCTAAAGGTCATAATCTGTTCTGGGAGTTGCTGTGCCACTTTTGTGCTTTGTTACATACTTAGTTTTAAATTATTGAACTAAAGCTGGATGTTTTTATTTTTATTTTATTTTTTTAGACTTTTACAAAATATATACAGGTACATTGAAAGGTTTATTTGTTAAAATTTTGTTGTTTTTGTAGTGTAAACACATTAAACCAAAAGCATTAGTGTAATATTTATAATGATTCTGTTTCAAATAAAAGGTGTTCTTTTAAATGTATTATTCAAACAATTATACATGTATGAATGTATATTATTCAGTTTTGTCATCCCCAAAATAAATTGCATTAAATTCATTCCACAATATTACTATATTTAAATAGTTTTTACACAATTTTAGATAAATAAAACTAAATAAAAATGTAAATAATTAAATTTATATTTTTTATATATACACAAATTCATAAATTTGATATATATATATATATATATATATATGTATATATATATATATGTGTGTGTGTGTGTGTGTGTGTGTGTGTGTGTGTGTGTGTGTGTATAAATAAATATATATATATATATATATATATATATATATATATATATACATATATATATATATACAGAGTGCTCAGTGTAAATTGAGTACAGCCCATCTTGAAAATAAATATTTGTATCCATTTCTCAGTGAATATAGGCAATGTATTTTGGTGCGTTCAAACAAAACAGATTTATTAAACAGATATTTTATTAAAATAATATTTTAGTCATCAAACATATTTAGAAATTGAAAGATAATACAATACATTCAAGTAAAATATTGCACAAAGTTACAACCAGCAAAATTTCAACTAAATTTTTGTTTTTTGCTTCTCTTGATTTTTCATCTTTTTAAAATTTGTATTTAATGTTTTTTTCCCCAACATATAAATTTGGCTGTACTAGTTTTTGGACCAATATCATGAGTTATTTTGTTAGATAAGCTCCAGATTTGGCTTCAGTACTGACTAATCTAATGTATATGCACCAATATAATATTGTATATCTTCCTATCAAAAATATGAATTTAAAAGAGAGATTTGTGAGGGGTGTACTTATGTATGCTGAGCACTATATATATATATATATATATATATATATATATATATATATATATATATATTCTTTATATATCATTTATAAGTAATGTATAATATATCATTTCAGCAATGATATCACAATGCGTGCATACACAATATTCACATCACAAGATACTGTATGCAATGTTTAGTCTGAATTACAGTTGACCAGGAGCTTCAGAACATGTGAATTGTAGAGTCAAATATCTACAAATATCCACTTGTCTTCAAAGCGAACACAAGATTATTTTACTTGCCCTGATGGCAGATCATTTTGCTTGTTTTAAGAAAAAACTCTTAATTTTGAATTATTTCTTCGGACAATGAAAATAATTCAGTATTTTGATATTTAGAATAGAAACAAGATAAAGCAAATTAAGAAAAGCTTTTTTTGCCACCTTATTACTGTACCTGAGTAATGTTAGACTCTTCAGAAAACTGCTAAACAGAGCTATTCATCTCATGAAACTGTATTCATATTGCGATATTTATCACAGAAAAATAAAGCATTGCAATATCAGATTATGTATCTATTTATTTATTTATTTATTTATTTATCTATCTATCTATCTATCTATCTATCTATCTAATCTATCTATCTATGTCATTTATATTAATCTTTTCTATTTTTTATAAGATGATATAAGATAATGACAATATTATATTTGTGAGTAATGCGTATATATTAGATTAGTCAGTACTGAAGCCAAATCTGCAGCCAATCTACAGTAATCTAACCTGGTGTAACAGTCCAAAAATTGGTACATCTAAACTGATATGTTAGGGGAAAATATTGAATAAAATTTTTAAAAAGAGAAAATATTAAATTTATTTGGAATTTCATAGTTTGTATTTTTTTTAAACATTTCACTTAAAATGAATAATAAAAAATATGTATTAAAACAAATGTATCATCTTTCTATTTTTAAATACGTTCGCTGAAATTTTTTAAGATAAAATATATCTGTTTATCTGTTTTATTCAAATTTATTAGGTATTTTCACTAAAAGTAGTAGAAATAATTTAAAAATATTCATTTTTGCCGAGCACTGTACATACTTAAATACTTAATTGTATTTTACTGTAACATTTTAATGCATATATAAAGTGTGATGTAGGCACTTTTATTCAAACACACAGTCTGACAAAAGCGAATCCCAGGACTGATTTAGACATCCGCTGCTGCTGCTGAGGTTTAAATCTGGCTTTTAAAATATCTCCTCCTTAGGCCGATGCGTTAAACAAGCCAACTGGAACGGCCCTTAACTTAATAGCCAAATAAAATACCTGCATTAAAATCACAGCAATATTCATAGTGTTGTTTAGTTTTATATCGCCAACAAAATCATATTGAATATGCCATACGTGTGATATATATCACTCAGCAGCGATATGAATCATTGATAAAACAGGGTTATGATGGTTTGCTCTTTTTGTTTTGTGTAACACAGGCTGCCAGCCAGCAGGTGGGGGTCTCGCAGCGCTCCGGCTCGTCCTCTGCCATCTACATGAATCTGGCACACATGCAGGCGGCAGGAGCAGCTGGCGTCGGGGTGGGCGTCAGCGGGGTTGGTGCCGTTAGCCCCTCCACCCTTTCCAGCGCCTCCAGCGTGGCTTCTCTGAACGACCAGGCCAGTAGCCAAGCGGCTGCTAAACTTGCCCTGCGCAAACAGCTGGAGAAGACCCTGCTGGAGATCCCTCCACCCAAACCTCCAGCGCCCCTGCTGCACTTCCTGCCATCCGCCGCTAACTCCGAGTTCATCTACATGGTGGGCCTGGAGGAGGTGGTGCAGAGCGTCATTGATAGTCAGGGTAAGAAACACTTTCAGGGTGTCCACGGAGTCTTAAAATGTCTTAAATTTCAAAAAATCTAATTAAAAAGTCTTAAATTTACTGAAATATTGTCTTGTCAGTCTTAAATTCTTCTTAAACGGGTCCTAATTTTTAAAAGATGTAATTGCAGTGCCAGTTCACAGGTCATTTTCACTGAACACCTCTTTTTTTTCTGCTCTTCAGGTAAAATGCGGGGGTCACTGCCACACGTGGAGCCGTTCTTCTGTGCCCAGTGCAGGACTGACTTCACCCCTCACTGGAAGCAGGAGAAAAGTGGCCGCATCCTCTGTGAGCAGTGCATGACGTCCAATCAGAAGAAGGCCTTGAAGGCCGAGCACACCAACAGGCTGAAAAACGCTTTCGTTAAGGCTCTGCAGCAAGAACAGGTCAGTAGATGTCCGTGTATTCATTTTACACCGTGTTGTAGAGTGAACATGACTTCACCTTTGACATCTTTGTTGATTGAGGAACTATATTACAATGAACTTTCAGACTTGAGGGACCTGCATGTTCACAATGTCTTCTTCTGTTGTTGTTATTTCTTTCTGATAATAAATTAGAGATTTTTGGGATTATAAAAAGTTTAGCACGTTAATTTTCAATGGGATGTTGTTCCAGGATAAACAAAAAAAGTCTTGGGTTTTATGGTCTTGAAACTAAGTTTCAGTAGTTAATGTAGTGAATGTAGTGTATAAATAGGTGTATAGGTGAATATATAGGTATGGGTACATAGGTATTCTCAATATAGGTTTCAATACTGCACCTCAAACTATATGGCACGCTGCTGTTTTTGTTAAATAAAAACCTTTTAAAAATTATTTTGGATTTTTTTTTTAAAAAGCTGAATGAAAAAATTAAATTATTATATGATAGCTTAACTAAATTTGTTTTGTTAACACTTTTCATTTATTCACGTAGCAGTCATTTTGTCTTACAATTAAGAAGGCTTTCAGTCATTCAACAAAGGAAACAAACAAAAATAAGTGCTAATTACACAAACGAACTATTAGTACTCCGGGTAAGTTTTTTTTTTTTTGTAGAGAAGAATGTTTCTGCAAGTGGTTTGCCAAGCACACTCACCTGTGTGAATATCAATTCATAAGTGCACTTTATTATTTAACATATGAAGTGATTGGTGCAAATGTGCAAAACTAGTCCAAGTGTGGGTTGACATGACAAGCCCACTCTTTACAATTTGTTAAAAAAAAGTTCTCCAAGATAATAATGAACAGTTGTGTTTTTATTAGGTAACTTTAAGAAATTCTAACTATAACAAATTTTTGAAAACCGCATTCAGTGTAAGTTTTTGAATAGGACACTAGGGTTGGGCGATGTTGACCAATTTTCATTGTACGATGTCTAGTGTGAAACATCGTGATGGACGATGGCATAGTCGTCATAGGCGGCGGTGAATTAATTATTTATGAGTAATTAATTTATTTATAACTTATATTTTTAGCCTAGTTTCAACTACCTGACCCACATAGTCTTTGTTTTCCCAAAACCAAATCATAAATAGATAAAGATAAGTTACACACAAATTACCACCTGTCAATCACTTTTTCTTCAGGACTCTGGCAGGAATAGGCTAGGCTAGAGTGATCTGTGTCATCATAATGGCGTTGACAAACTTGGGTGGCAAAATAGGTGCACAACCAACAGTATCTGAGGTTTTCACTAAAATTACTAAGTACAAGCAGAAATGCTAGGTGAATACCAGTATGGGCGTAAATCATTTTCATTCTAAAATGCCATATTAAAACTAAGACGAATTGGTGTAAACGAGGCCTAATTGTGTGTTTTTTGCGAGCGGGGGGCTGCTGCTGATGAAGGCGGGGTGGAGGATAGGGATGCCGGCTCAACATAGTGATGTCAATCGGTCATCTGCAATGGAATATGACATGGTCAATCGACCCAACCCTATAGGATACTATTATCATATCCTATTAAATAATAACAAAAGTTTACTTGTAAAAAAAAAACTGGCATCATGTGCATATATCCTGCGTTCATTCTTGACTACAACCAAAACAACAAAAACTAAAAGCGTTAGTTTGCAGTGAGACAAACGATATGCAAAATATAGTGTGGTCATTTTGACAGACAAAAATGAGAAAGAAAACGTTGCCTTTTAGTTATCTTGGACAGATAAACATCAGTTTATAAAATGTACATCAAACACTGAACTTTTCCTAGAAACCTTCCTAAAAGTGAATGTACTCTAGAGTAATTTGATTCAATTTTAGATTTATGGTTCATATTATGATTTAAAATGAGTCTAAATAAAATCAATTGTTAAGGTAAATGTGTTTACTTACTTAGAGTTTATAGATGCGCACGTTCTTCTGTCAAGTTTGGGATCAATGCAGAGACTCATTTGTCATTGTGGTCTTTCAGGAATCAGTCTCATGCTCTTCGCTCCTCCATGACCACCACAGCATCAGCTCAGGATACGGCCTGGTCCAGGATTATGGAGACCTTGGGATCATTTCTTCACAAGTCTTGGATCGCATCAATGGCACTGCATAATGTCTAGGGGCCTAGGGATGAATATTCCTAGGTGGAAATAGAGAATACAGAGAATAATTAGCGTAGCTAATAAAAAGTGATGCAAAAATTAAGTGATATAAATGTTATAGAAACAAACATAGAAACAAATAGCTCAGTGGTGAGAAACAAAACTTCACCAATTGACGAAAGTGAAAGGGGAAAAATAACCTCAAGAGAAACCAAACTCAGTTGGGCACGACCATTTCTCCTCTGGCCAAACTTGTGCAGATCTGCAGTCCAGGCACCGGGGCTGGAGAACACTGGACGTCCATTGTGGAGAACTGCAGGTGTGAGTAGGTCACCGGCGGGAGTTCAGGCTGGCCCACAGGATCAATGTGGAGACTCTTGTGTCACTGTGTTCTTTCAGGAATCAGTCTCCATGACCAGCACAGCATCAGCTCAGGATACGGCCTGGTCCAGGATTATGGAGACTTTGGCATCAATTCTTTTCAAGTCTTGGATCGCATCAATGGCACTTCATAATCTCTAGGGGCCTTAGGATGAATATCCCCAGGTGGAAATAGAGAATAAAAAAAATAATTAGCATAGCTGCCATTCATAGTGTTTAAACGAGATGCAAAAACGAAGTGCAATAAATGAAAATGGTAGTTATATAAACAAACATACAAACAAACAGCTCACGTGTGGTTTTGTGGCTGTGATTACGTCATTACATCAAGACAGAAATGACATTTTTGGGTGAATTATATCTTGTAAATACAGTATGCTGCCTCTTTCAACACTATTTGCAGTCTGACCGTGTCCACATTGCTGAGCAATGCATATAAAACAATGTGAAGACTTGTGCAACTGCCTTTATGCTTCTTTAATGACCTTGAAATATTAAGTGACTTAATGGTGGAATGCTGGATTAAGATTGTGTAGGGGTCGTATCGAGATCATGATCTTTTAATGATTAATCGTCCAGCCCTAACTACGTGTGTAAAGTCTGTCTGTATTTGATGACTAGTCTAGTTTTGGACTATTCTTAGATGTCTGTTAGATTTTCGCTGACAGTCCCAATTTATCCTTGTTTTAGGCAAGCCATCTACATTTAGATGTCTAATAAACACCACTTCTTGCTGGGTAACCTTTGCATGGGAAGCGGAGTACGCATTGCTTTGCTGTTAGTCTGCATCACTCCTGCTGACGATCCGTCTGTATTTTCATTTCTTCAGGAGATCGAGCAGCGGTTGCAGCAGCAGGCGGCTCTGTCCCCCAGCTCCGGCCAGACTGTGCCCAGCGTGAGCAAAGGAGAAACCATGATCCGACACCATGCCCTCCGACAGGTGCGACTGCTCATTGTGTACAAACGATGACATCTCATGAGACCACTTTTATGGATTCACAAAAGGCCGTTTTATTCTGGCCTTTCAGCTAATTACGGTGTTTAATGAGTGATGATTCTGAATGCCAGGATCTGCTTAATGGTACCGAGAGGAGTCGTGAAACTGACTGATTCTCTCTGCTTCTCTCCTTCAGACTCCACAGCCACAGGCAGCTCTACAGCGGGGTCTGTCCAGCTCCGCACGGGGGGTTCTCTCTAACTTCGCCCAGGCCTCCCAGCTCTCAGTGGCCAGTGGGCTGCTGGGAATGACGAGCAAGCGCTGTGGCAGCAGCAGTTCCAGCGGCGGCGGCACCAGCAGCAGTCGACCCCAGCACGACAGCCGCAGGCAGATCTACAACATCCCTGGTAAGTGCACGCTTTTGAATAATGCATGGTACACTACAACTAAATGATTTTCTGTGCACAATGATTCAAATGGGTTTCAGTGAGTCTGATTACAAGAAGATGATGGTGTAAATTGAGTCTAAAATGTTTTAAGCTTTGCAGAGGTAGTTGAAAATGCATTTATAATGTGTAAATGCTCATGTGGTCGCACGTGTTGGGTTGAACCTAATTTTTGACTAGTAGTGTTTAACTTTTAGATTTTTTTTTTTTTTTGCCTAAAAGCAAAAACAACAACAACAACAACATCCTGATTATGTATCTGCTTCTTAAGTGGTGACATATGAAATACTGTTTTCGGGTCCAAGCTGCTACTCATTTGAATTGGGAAAATATTCATTAATGGACACTTTTTAGTCATATCACACACATTAAAGTGAATTTTAAACAAACTCATAGTGTACACTAGAAATCTGCGCGAGACTATATTTTGAATCCTGCTCGTGCCAGGTTTTAGCCTGAACCTGAGCATTCCGGCTTATATTAGGCATTTGTTGTCCCGCTGCCCGCCCCGCCCCATTTTCTACCCTCTGTTCCCGCTAACCGACGGGGGGAGAACAAAACCGAAAACCACCCAGCTATACAGAGTCCAGACAGCCTATAACAAGCTGTCTGTATAAACACACACACACACACACAGACAGCACAAAGCTCTCTCTCTCATTCGCATACACAGACTCACTCACTCACTCACTCACACAGACACACACACACACACACACACAAACACACACACACACAGTCAGCACAAAGCTCTCTCTCTCATTCGCATACACAGACTCACTCACTCACTCACACACACACACACACAAACACACACACAGTCAGCACAAAGCTCTCTCTCTCATTCGCATAAACACACACACACGGACAGCAACAACAACCTTAAACGCAGCATCATGCTGTCTCATTCACACACATACATACGCGTGCTCCCTCGCTCGGGAGTCGGTAGCGATATTGTTAGACCACCCGCTCCAGTCCAAAATTACACCAGTTGCCAACCACTCCCGCACTTTATTTGGAAATTTATTCCTGCGCCACACGAAATCTGGTCGGCTAACTGGTGTAGTTTTGGACGGGAGGGGGTGGCCTAGCAATATCGCTCCCATCTCCTGAGCGAGCGAGCACGTGTATGTATGTGTGTGAATGAGACAGCGTGATGCTGAGTTGTTCTCTCTCTCTCTCTCTCTCTCTCTCTCTGTGTGTGTGTGTGTGTGTGTGTGTGTGTGTGTGTGTGTGTGTGTGTGTGTGTGTGTGTGTGTGTGTGTGTGTGTGTGTGTGTGTGTGTGTGAATGAGAGAGAGCGTGATGCTGTCTGTGTGTGTGTCACTTGCGAGGTGGGCAGCGGGACAACAAATGCTGAATATAAGCAGGAGCAATCGGGTCCGGACTAAAACCTGGCGGGAGCGGGATTCAAAATTTAGTCCTATGCAGATCTCTACCGTGAAGGTCATCGTTTCACCAAACTCACCGCTGTTTACTGAGTGTAACCACAGATACAGAGACACTGAAGCGTTTCAAAGTCACCTTGATCAGCTTGTTTGTTTGTAAGCTAACATACAGTATGAGCGATACGCTGATGAATCGTAGCTTTAAAACGCTTCAGTGTCCCTGTATCTATAGTTACACTCAGTAAAAGTCTTCATGACTTCATCACAGTCATTTCTGTTAAACACAATGACAAATCTGCATTGTTTAAGAACGCGCTCAAATCTTAGCGGGAAATGCACTTATTAAAAATTCAGTAACTATTGGTATCGAATTCTAGTATCGTGTCAACTGTGCGGGGCATACACTCGCCTATATATCTTGATCTCGCTGCATTGTGTGTTTCTAGGACATGGTGTTACATTTATTATCTAATCACACTTCTTATAAATTGTTTTTCTCTTCTTGTTTTCTTCCATTACTTTTGATCCTCGTCCTCCATCACAGGTCTGAATATTGCCTATCTAAATCCGGGAGCCATCGGGGGCCACAAGGCGTCCAGCCTAGCGGACCGTCAGCGGGAGTATCTGCTCGACATGATTCCCCCACGCTCCATATCCCAGTCCATCACCGGGCAGAAATGAGGCCTGACGGGACTGCAGATCCCCCCCCCCCGCCCCACTCCTCCGGACGTCCCACCACTCCTCTGTTCTACATCAGAACATCCCCGTCCCCCAAAACACATCCACGCGCACACCATCACCCCATCGCATGCAGTGCCTGTCCGTGTGCCTACCCAACTAACCCATAAGAACAGCTCAATCAGTCAGACTATAAACACCAGACTGTCCGTGCATCTCAAACTTCGGTTTCCTACTATAGCAAAGCTCTTTATTGTTATCTCGACTTATTATTGCTGTTGTTATTGCTACTTCGATTATTATCACAGTTATTATTATTATTAGTATTATTGTTGTTTCTGTTACAGTTACTCTTATTACACTTATTAGTAGGTTTTAGTGGCATCTTTTTACGTTCTTATGTTTTCTTTTCTGAGGGAGGATGCCAGATTGCAGGGTCACTCGAAAATATCGAAGCTCGTTTCTTTTGGTTCATTTCGAAGCTTCCTCCCTCCCGTCGCCCCCTGTAAAATTCGACTCTCACGTTGTGTTTGTTCAGTTTCAGAGTGGGAATGGTTGAAGCATTCCTGAGAGAGATGAATCTTTGTAGCGTCGCACATCGGGAAAGTCCTCCGAGAACCTTGTGGTTCAGAACGAGCGAGACAGACTCATGTACATTGATCAGATTGATCCTTACGCAGAGATTGTCGACACGCTTAAAACGGAGCCTGCGCAAGCACGGAAGAGTGCTGTCGAATGTACAGAGAGAAACTGTAGAGTTGGAGGTCCTTGAACTGGATCTCTCACGCGTCTCTCAATGCCTTCACTTTCACAGGATGCAGTGGTTTTTGTGGCGACGTTGTGTTTTCACTGCACGGCGGATGGAGAATGAAGCCGGAGAGCTCCATCTTCATGAACTTTGAGATTTTGGTTTTCTGCTTGTGTGTTTTTTGCGTCCCCTCTTCTCCTTTTGTCTATATGAGTTTGTTTTGTTTTTTTCGTCAGGCGGCGTCTTCATCTGAAATGGCTATGTATCTTAAAGGTACCCGCCATGGGAGACGATAATCTTTGAAATGGCAAATGAGTGGAATTATTGGAGGAAAAAAAAACGGTTTATGCGTAGATTGTTGTTGTTGACGTGAGTTTTAACAGAAGGCATTGACAAGGATCAATCATCGTGTTAAAGCAATGCACATGAGATGCCTCGTTGTGGAGGAGCACTTTTCTTCTTAATAATTAACGGAAAAAAAAACAAGGTTAAACAAAGAGGACAAGAATGTTTCAGCTAGGTATGGATGCCATCCGATGTCTCGGAGAGAGTTGGGAGAAAGACATTTTTGCGCGATGTGTGATGCATTTCGACCACCACGTTGAATTATTGTTTTTTCAATTTATGGTACATTTGTTTATGTTTCACTAGCATTTCTTGGGGCTTTGAATGGAGACGATATAAGCAGTGTTTAGTCATTATGCAGTATTAGGGATTTTAGTTTTTGCAGGATGGATTTGCATTCTGGTTGGATAATAATCTTGGTCATAATAAGGGATAATACATGACAAGCGATTTACTAAACACTTATGTTTATGCTTCGCATTTAGGCAACGTTGTTAAAACAATACTTGTTAACATATTTCTGTAAAAGATTAAAACGGTTGAAATGTGCATGCCAGGCCAGTAGGTGGCGATATCACTTTCTGAAGAAACACTTATGTGCATATGCACTATTGTGGTTTTGATGTTGTGGTATTGTTTTGGTTGTGAAGTATCCGCCCATGTCCACTGAATGAATATATAGTGCATGACGTCACTATATTCACCAATCACGTTTTAGTAGTTAATGTGAAGATGATCGCAATCAAAACGTTTATTTTTCATGCACCCACCAAAATGGCGTTATCGTGTAGTAAAAAAAATACAAATATTAAAATAAGTTATGCAGTTTTGCAGTTCATATGCACACCAACAGCATTTTGGTGACCTAAAAATAAAACTTTAGTATGACTTAAATTTTAGTACGACTTACAACTATAAAAACGCCGTGTTGTGAAAACATTGACGTCATGTCTGTGTATTTAATATGCATAAACCAGTACAACCGATACGACAACAAAAAAATATAAAAGATAGTGTTTTATTTTACAAAATGACATCACCACTTACTGGCCTGGCATGCATAATACATCGTTTTTAGCCTCTTTTTTTTTTTTTTTTTTTTGTGGATTCAAAAAACTTGTCAGTGCTTTAATTTGTATGCAGAACATTTCTATTTTTAGTACATCCCTTTGTTTTTGAAGGATGGATTTGCATACTGGTTGAACAAAAGTCTTGGTCATTTTGACATATAATACATGATAAATGATTTACTAAACAAACTTTTTAATATATTTTTTTTGTTTTGCATGTAGGCAGCATTGTTATCAAAACAATACTTGTTAATATGGATCTGCGAAAGATTGAAAATGTTGTATTAGGCATGCCAGGCCAGTAGGTGGCTATCCCTTTGTGAAGAAACACTATGCGCATATGCGCTGTTGTGGTCCATTGTTTTTATTGTCAAGTATTTGCTTATGTCTACCGACTGAATATATATAGTGCGTATGACGTCACTATATTCACAAATCACGTTTAGGTAGTTAATGTGAAGAGAATCACAATTTTAAAAAAAATAATAATTTCATACACCCACCAAAACATGTTTTTGTATAGTAAAAAAAATACAAATAAATATTAAATGAAGTCATGCATTTTTGCAGTTCATGTACACACCAATAGCCTTTTGGTGGGCTAAAAATGCAATTTTAGTATGACTTAGTGCTGTTAAAAACATAGTTTTGTGAAAATATTGGCATCATACACTTCTATTACATATTCGTGAGCAAGTAGAACCCGTACAACAACAAAAAATTACTGTTTTATTTGTCGCCACCTTGCCTGGGTATTTTTAATCTTTTATTTATTTATTTTTCCTTTTTTTTTTTTTGTGGATTGAATAAATTTGTCAGTGCTTTAATTTGTATGCAGAACATTTCCATTTTTAGTACATCCCTTTGTTTTTGCAGGATGAATTTGCATACTAGTTGGTTAATAGTCTTGGTCATATTGATGGATAATACATGACACAATTTACTAAACCAACTTTTTCTCATTTTTTTTATGTCTTGCAATTAGGCAAAATCGTTGTCAAAACAATTTTTTTTTACCCAAAAATATTGTAATATGCATGCCAGGCCAGAAGGTGGCGATATCACTTTGTAATAAGTTATGCGCATATGCACTTTTGTGATTCACTGTTTTGATTGTGAAGTGTCCGCTCATGTCTACTGACTGAATATATAGTGCGCATGACATCGCTATATTCACCAATCACGTTTTAGTACTTATTGTGATGATGATCGCAATCAAAACATTACTTTTTCATGCACCCACCAAAATGGCGTTATTGTATAGTAAAAACATACAAAAAAATATTAAATTATTAAGTTATGCATTTTCACAGTTCATGTACACACCAATAGCCTTTTGTTGGCCTAAAAATGCTATTTTAGTACGACTTAAAATCTAGTACTACTTACGACTACAAAAACGCAGTTTTGTGAAAAAAATATACGTCATTTATTTTTTTTACATATTAATGAGCAAGTACAACCCAAACGACGACAACAAAAAAAAAAACTTTTATTTTACAAAATGACATCGCCACCTACTGGCCTGGCATCCATAATGCAGTGTTTTTAGCCTATTTTTTGTGGATTGAATAAATTTGTCAGTGCTTTAATTTGTATGCGGAACATTTCTATTTTTAGTACATCCTTGTCATGCAAGCAGTCCCTTCAGTTATGGATGCAGTGCTCCGTGTTTCAGTATCTCGGTTCATAAATGACTTTTCAAAGGATTTAACGTTTGCTTGTTGACCAGTTCGAGCACTTAACGTTTCGTTTCTCTCCCCAGCCTAAGCATTTACTGTTGGTTGTTTTGGAAATCAGACTCTGAGGTCTGTCATGCAGGTCATGTTTAATAGCTGCGAGGAAACGCGAAGCTAAAATTGGAAATAAATCTGTGCACATGCATATTTCTGTCATGTGTGGAGTCGCTGATTCTTGCAGTTTTGTTTTTTTTAAGTGTGTCCTGTGTAATGCCACTGATTTGTGGTGGAACGATGCAACTTTTTTGAACAAATCAATTTTGAAGCTACCTTGGATTAAATTTTCAGGTGCAATATTAGATGATAGGATGTTTACATTTATAATTTTTCCTTCTTTTTTTTTTGGTTCCTCCTAGTAAGGATGATAAATCAGTCTCTTTATATTCACTCTTTGCTACTAAAGGGCTGACTTTATCTCCAGTTCATCTGTATTTTAAGCTTGGGTTCTTTTGAAATGAGCATAGGGTGTTTCTAGCTACTCATTTCTCTCTCCTGCTCTCTCTCGTAGACTGTGTTAGATGCATCCATATACCTGTGTTCATATATTTACGAGAAAGTTGAATTTTCGAAGTTTAACTTCCGTTTGACTCCTCGATTTAAGTTCCATTTTTTCCGTTCGGTTGCTTAATTTCAGCTGTTTCTTAAAAAAAATCATAAAAGAAAGAAAAAAGGAGAAAAAAAATCAAATTTAATCAAACGAAAAAAAAATGTATGAACAGATGATGACACGATATTTGCTAGGTCAGAAGTAATAATGACTTATTGTACATACGCTTTTTTGTTTTTCTCCCTTGAATTAAAAATAATGAAATGAAATTAAAATGGTTGTATATTGTGTAGAAAAGCAAACAAAAAGCCATGAATATTGTGAAGCTTGTCATTTCGTTTTGTGATCACTGTGTATTATTGTGTAACAAATGTGCAAAATGTATGGGATTATACTTCTTCTCTTGTTTTTGAATGAGCTCTTTAGATGCATTTTCTCCCCGGCTGTACGTTTTTTGTAGTATGTAGTATTTGCAGAAGAAGAAGAAGAAGAAAAAAAAAGTTCATTGTTCTGGTGGAGCGTTTGATCCATTCTGTAGTCTTTGGACTGAGACGTGATGGGACAGTCTCGTATGTTACTACTTTTATTTTTTTTCGTTACTTTACGGTTGACTTTTTATTTCAAACATTGACGTTTGGTAGATGTTTGGTGATGTTTCTTTTCTCTGATGTCCCAAACAAAGTGTTGGTCTTACAGAACATGGACTGGATGAAACATTTGACAGTATTACCCCTTCACCTGACCAAAATCCAAAGCGATCATCATCGTAAATGTAAAATCAAAGCACGCCGATGCTCAGAAACATTACTTTAAACTAAATTACTGGGTGCAGAAAATTCTACAGGGGAGATTGTGTACATTTGTTTTCTATTGCTTATAACTTTCTTCGATATATCCCTAATTTTTTTTTTTCTTTCTTGGGAAAAAAGAATCACAATGCTCTTATTTTTTTCATGGAAGATTGTATACGTTGTATACGATGAAGAAGAAGAAAAAAAACTTTGTTTGTTTTTGACTGTTCCAATGCTTATTGCCTTCAGCCTTTAAATCATAAGACAAAAATGGACAATTTGCACTCATGCAAGTTTCGATTCTAAGGTTTGTGACATTATTAGATATACTTTTTCAAGTTTCATGTCATGGAATCACTGTCCATAATTCTCTGACTGGACAATCAGCTTTTCTGGAGTTCTAGCGCTGGGGTTTTACTTCTCTCTTCCATTTTTGCTTTTCTTTTTAATTAAGTTCTTTCTCTCCCTGTTTTTATTTGTTGCAAGTCTCTCTTATTTTTCTTGTTGTTGATGTTGCTGAAGTGGGAGAGAGGTTTTTTTTTTTTGGGGTCACCATTTCGTTTTGATTTTTCTAAACTCCATCTGAACTGTCAGATATTTTTAAATAGACTTAGCTGCAATTTACCCAGTTTGAATTTTAAAGCAAATGGCAATATCCGTTTGTAAAAAGAAAATTATGATTAATGTGTACAGTAAAAAAAAAACAGAAAAGAAAAAAAAGAGATTGGCGTAAAAGATTATGGATTTTAGTCAAGGAAAAGAAGTGCTTTTTGTCGAGTTTTTATTTTCATTTAGAACATTAATCCAGACCTTTTGCACATCCTTGATATTTAACTGTCTAAAATGGAGATGAAAAAAAAATTGCTGTTTGATTACTGCCGGTTGATTAACAACAATTATGCATTGACTGAAAAAAAAATAAGCTAATTTTGGAGGAAATAACTTTGTAATATTTATCACTTGCAAGCTATGTTTAATAAAGGATGGAACAGTTTATCTCCGAGTGTGTTAACATTTGTCCGCATGTTCTTTCTTTTATTATGGTTTCTTTCGCCATTTTGAAACCTTACTCTGTCTTTTTAGGTTATTTTTTATTATTTAAATATTGATATATAATGATATGCATATTTACTCAAGCTCTGCAATTTAATGTCAACGGAAAAGGTAAATAAAATCCTGTTATGAGTTTTTAAAGTATGTTTGAGACTAAAGACTGTACAAATCAGGCAGTGCGAGACTTTAGTTAAAATTAATTAATTTATTTACATGACACATTGACATAGTACGGAAAAGCTCTTTCTGGTTTATCTTGGATGTTGTATATGCTTTTGTATTTATTTACTAAGTTCTCGAACGTGCGAAAACGGCACGTCATTCTTTTCATTTTCCCAGCAAACATGTCCTGAGTTCGTCACATATCCTGGTTTATCTTAGGCGTTGTATAATTGGTATTTGTGTACGAAGTTCTCAAGCGTGTGAAAACATCACGTCATATCCTTACAATTTTCTCTGCCAAAGTGTCTCGAGTTCATCTCATATTCTGTTTTATTTTGGGCATTGTATAATTCTTCTTTGTAAAAGACATTCTTGAGTGTGCGAAAACGTCATGTAACATCCTAATGATTTTGACAACAAAAGCCTTCTGAGCTCGTCACATATCCTGGTTTATCTTAGGCGTTTTATAATTCGTATTTGTGTACGAAGTTCTCAAGCGTGCGAAAACATCACGTCATATCCTTACAATTTTCTGTGCAAAAGCATCCTGAGTTCATCTGATATTCTGTTTTATTTTGGGCATTGTATAATTCGTATTTGTAAAAGACATTCTTGAGTGTGCGAAAACATCATGTCACATCCTAACGATTTTGATGACAAAAGCCTTCGGGGATCATCACATATTCTGGTTTACCTTGGGCTTTGTATATTTCATATTTGTATAAGAAGTTCTAGAGTGTGCGAAAAACATCAAGTCATATCCTTTCAATTTTCTCAGCAAAAGCGTCCAGCGTTAGTCACATATTCGGTTTTATTTTAGCCGTTGTATGATTCGTATTTGTATACGACATTCTTGAGTGCGAAAACGTCACGTCCTTTCAATTTTGATGACAAAAGCTTCCCACATTCATCAGATATTCTGATTTATCTTGGTCATTGTATATTTCATATTTGTATACAAAGTTCTGAAGCGTGCGAAAACGTAAAGTCACATCCTTACGATTGTGATGACAAAAGCTTCCTGAGATCGTCACATATTCTGGTTTACCTCGGGCAGTGTATATTTTATATTTGTATACAAAGTTCTTGAGCATGTGAAGGCGTCACGTAATCTTACGATTTTTACGACAAAAGTATCCTGAGTTTGTTAGGCATTGTATAATTCGTATTTATATACGAAGTTCTCGAGCATGCGAAAACATCTCGTCATATCCTACCAGTTTTCTCTGCAAAAGTGTGTCGAGTTTTGTTTTATTTTGGGCGTTGTATAATTCTTACTTGTATATGAAGTTCTAGAGCATGCAAAAACGTCACATCACATCCTTACAATTTTGACGACAAAATCGTCCCGAGTTCGTTACATATTCGGTTTTATTTTGACCGTTGCGTGATTCGTATTTGTATACAACATACTTGAGTGTGCGAAAACGTCACGTCACTTCCTTATGATTTACATGACTAAAGCTTCCGGACGTTGTCACATATTCTGGTTTACGTCGTCACGTAATATCCTTACAATTTGACGACAAAAGCATCCCGAGTTCCTCACATTCTGGTTTATCTTGTGCAGTGTACAATTCGTATTTGTTTACAAAGTTTTTGAGCATGTGAAAATGTCATGTCCTTTTGACAACAAAAGCGTCCTGATTTTGTCACATATTCTGGTTTATTTTGGCCATTTAATAATTCTTATTTGTATACAAAGTTTTCAAGTGTGTGATAAAGTCTTGACATATTCTTTCGATTTTCGCGGCAAAAGCATCCCAAGTTCATCACATAAAAAATAAAAACTGCTACTACAGGCTCTTTATTATTGTCCATTTGAGTTAGTTATGTTATTTTCATTATGTGCCAGATATGTTCTAAAGTTACAATGCAAACCAAAATCTCACACTCTACCAGCACACATGGGTCTCCCGAGTCCTGGTCATTCATTTACAGGCTAATAGGCTTCATTATAAGCTTTGACTTTATCCGGTCAGAACAATTATAGCTATTTTCCACAGCTTCACTGTTTCCATCTATCCTGCCAGCAGAATCAAGGTTGCCGTCCATTAAGAGGTGATGTATGCCATTTATAGTCCAACTAAACCAATATTAGTTGACACAGGTGCCTGAAAGTGGACAATCAAGCTGTCATGTCCCTTCTTGTCAGGAATTACAGCAATGGACTATCACCTTTCAGTCGTTTTTGCTGTAATTTGCGTTCTCTGATTTAATGTGCAGTCTACATTGATACAAACCTGATGAAGTCAATTTTTGAAGGTGGACATTAAAGGAATAGTTCATCCAAAACTTCTTGTTTCAGAATTTCTTTTTTCTTTTGAACACAAAAGAAGATCCTTTCAAGAAAGTGGAATCCTTTTAAAGTCGATGTTCAGAGGTTTTCAGCTTTCTTTATAATAAATAGTAAGTAAATTCTCATTTTTGGGTGAACGCTCCCTTTAATGAGGGTTGTGTTTCAAGCTCATTTGTTGGTTGACGGATACCCACAGTCCCTGCTGTTTCCGCATTGAATATTCCATCGTATTATTTCAATGAACCCTCCCAATCTGCTCAAAAATATTGACTAGGCTTTCATCCAGCATTCCAGCTCTGCACATGCCTGTTATGGCAATTACACTGACGTAAACAACTGTGTTCTTAAGACCTCAGTGTTCAAATCAGCCCTTAATTTTAAATTATTAAAAAAATATAAACATATTTATTTAGAAACCCAAGTGGCCCTACCCTATCCAACCCTCTCCAAGCAGGAATCAAGCTGGCGGCTCTTTGTATGGGAGTTGGTTTGCTCTAACAAGGTGGTTAAAGACTAGGGCCTCTAACATCTGTCACTAGAGCACCTCTGGAGGTCAGAGGAGTTTACCTGCACAGCACTTCACTGGCTGGCCTCTGTTACATATACATATTGCAGCAGTACTGAATCTCATCAACAGTGTGTCTGTGTTGACATGTATTTTCATATTTTTTGTTACTGCCCTTTGCTGTCTTGACCAAGACTCCCTGGTAGAAGAGATATTGTATCTCAACGGGACCTTCCTGGGAAAATATTTAAATAAATAAAATAAAACAGGCCATGATTATATGTTGTAATAATCAAATTCTGTATGATTGTCAGAGACCATTATTAGTTCAAAAGTATTCAATTACATTGGCATATTTGAATGCATTAGACATGCTGTCATTATGCAAATTAATATGGTAGAAAGGAAAGCTCCTTTTTTTATTTATTCTGAAATACTTTGCACTTCATTATCTTTTGCTTTGTTTAAACGTCACTTTGTTAAACAAAATCGCCCATACAATACAATTACTTTTCATCATTTTGTAATCCTGTTTATTAACAGTTTCAGGTCTTGATTTGGAGCACTCACACTAGTGAAACGAACCGAGAAACGTGCCCTGGCACTGTATGGACAGCCTAGTGTGAGTGCACCCTTAAACCTTTGTGAGTAATGTTTTGAAAAAATTTACAAAAAAAAAAGCCAACTTTTTACCGTAATTAGGTTATTTATTAATAACTCAGCTAGTTTTCCAGGAGACAGATCAATATGGTAGATGGGTCTGAAATATGGGAGACTCCCGGGAAAAACAGGATTGTTGGCAGGCAGGGCTTAACATTAACATCCGCCAACCCGCCAATTGCGGGTAGATTTCAGCTTTGGCGGGTTATACAGTCACTCCCACTAGCCACATTGGCTGGTTGAAAATAATTTTTAAATTGTGGATTTTTTTAAAAGCAGGGTTCGACTATAAGAATGACCCAATATGCGAGCAAATGTGATCTTGGAATCGAGAAACAGCACGACTAACAAAATAGAATTGCGTCCGCGCGAGCAGAAGAAAGCAGATGAATACCGAATGAGAGGATGATCCCTCGCGCTAACAGCTGATGTTATGCGCGCGAATGTAAAAAGCGCGTGCGCGCTCCTGTTTCCTTGCTTGAAGCAACCGTGCCTGGAATGCAACTGTGATGGATTCTGTTTTAAATAGTCAGACAAAAAAGTAATGCTAATGCACCCACAGTCTTGCTGCTTTCAAGAGCTCCAAATATGTCTGTTTGTAAGCATCACCGGCTGCTTTGGCTTTGAACAGATTATTAATTGACCTTAACCGTGTGATCATCGTACCATTATCACACTGTATGTTTTTCACCTTTTTTTTTATTGCTTATGTTTATTTTTGTTTATTTGGTTTAATTATCTTTTTTTTTTTACAACAACATTGCTTTAATATGAGATTACATACTCTCCATTTATGTGTAGTTAACTGGTGATCTGAGAGACCTTTAGCGATGAAGGATTACTGTGCATATTTTTAATAATATTAATTAAATAAATAAAAACAAAATAAATAGAAATAAAACCATGAATGAGAAGGCATGTGGACAAAACACAAAATCTAAATCAAGTAATTTTAGCATGTCAAATATATTAATAATATTTATGCATATAAAAGATATTTTCCCAACAACAAAACTGTGGCTAGTGAAAATGCAGAGTGGCTAGTAATGTTGGAAAACCACTAGCCACTGTGGCTGGTGATCAAGAAAGGTAATGTCAAGCCCTGTTGGCAGGTATGACATACACTACTATGGCCAATTTAGCTTATTCAATTCACCTGTACCGCATGTCTTAAGACTGTGAGGGAAACCGGAGCACCTGGAGGAAACCCACGCCAACACAGGGAGAACATGTAAACTCCACACAGAAATGCCAACTGGCCCAGCCCAGATGTGAACCAGCGACCTTCATGCCGCCCTTTTGTTTGAACTAACTCTT